TTTGTATGCACTGCTGCTACTTGATTTATAGGTGAACCCAACTATCTATTCTACCGAGGGCGAAACCGTTGGAATCTTTTGTACCAGTTTACAAATGCAACAAAGCGTATTTTCATTATGGACGTGTACTTACGGTGATTGCTCAATGAATACTGCGGTTTTTCTTGCCTTTTTAACGAATGAAAATGTATCGTGTGAATATCCCGCTGCTTATCAGTCCCAAATCGAATTCTATGAAAAAAGGAAGGAAGTCTGTAACGAAGGATGGCGACATCCCGTGTATTTTGTGACCCAGTGTTTTTGACGACGTGCATTAAAGAGACCTATCAATATTTGTTATTCATTATTATAGCATCAAATAGGCTAATTAAATACAGCCTGTAGAAGCTGGGGTTGTAAAGTTGATATAGGTTATGTTTATAAAATTGTCCTGCATTTTGATTCAGATGTTTGTTCGTAGTAGCAGAAAACAACAAGTTTTCAGTTTGTTCCTAAAAATAATAAAGAACTTGCTGAATATTCCTAAATCTGCCAAACTCTGCCGCATTTAACACAACGTTAATATGTTCTGTCGCAATGAAAATGAATAAAAATTAAATCTGCCCAAAGGGCAGAAATCTGCCACAAATGTTCACACTGTTCTCAATCCCAAAGTAACATTGACATTGGCATGAGGCCTCGTGTCAAAACGTTCCTTTGCTAACTTTCGTATCTCTCATTGAAATATTGTCTAAACATTTTTGTTACATTGTGTTTTATTTTTTACTTTATGTCATTATTGTTTATTTGAATATTTGATTAGGTATTTTATAGTTTTAATGTTTTATCTGTGTACTATAAAATAACCAATGCTTTTGGTAGGTAAACATTCAGTCATGCTTAAAATGAATCGTATGTTCAAGAACGTTACCTAATCTATGGTAAAAGTGAATCAATTGCGTTGTGTTCTTGCATCTATTCTAAAATACATTGTTTTGCAATTTCTTTATTCCTACTTCTAAAAATATACAAAAATATATTAATAACTAGGCATAAACTAAAACCCAAAAATTATACTAGCAAAGTTCATGAACGTTTGTTGCACTTCGTTGATTTTGGGTCAGCTTTCGCCATTTTTCTTTCCACATTGTACGCACACGTATTTAAGTACCCAGGTCACCAACATAACGATGTTGCCGTTAAAACGTAAATTATGACAAGTAAAAATGTTAGCAAAAGGGTAATTATTTATTTTGACGACATATATAAATATCTATTCATATATTCATTAAAATGTAGCATAAATTAACCTAATTCATTTTATTTTGATTATGAATACGAAGATCAGGACCGTGGGACTCGAACCCACATCCATGCTACAGTTAGCATTGCTGTAACTATCTGAGCCACGGTTCCAGTTACCGAGTCGTAGAAAAAAATCTAATTTATTAAATTTAATTCTGAAATAACGCCTACTCAGACTGGATCTTTTCACTATGTAAAGCCACATTTATTATCTTCAATATCTTAAGGTTTAAGCGATCGCTTTCATGGGAATTTGTAGGGATAACTTATTCTAAAATCGATTTAAGGGACTTATAATGGTAATTACAACGGAAATCAAACTACAACAATGTGGTAAACTTGATGTGATGCTGCTCCTTGTGAAAGAGTTCGTCCAGGCAAGTACTACCACCTTACCTATTTCTGCTGTCAGGCAGTAATCTGACCATTACTGCGTTCCAGTTTTGAAGAATGCCGGTGCGCTTATGTCTGAAAGTCACGGGTGCAGTGGCAGTATCCCCTCAGATCTTTACAATTTAACGCTCTGAGGGGCACTGCGACTGCTATGGATAAGTGTGTCGTTTAACACCAGGCGTACGACTACTTCGTTCCGTCATTTGGTATAAAAAATACTTTTAGGATATGGATAATACCCTACTCTTATTACTATACTACTATATTATAAATTCTCTTACTACTTTATTAGAAACTAGCGATGTGATTGAAATCTTTGGATTGGACAGCTTATTACTGAGGCGTAAACTAATGCTATTAATGCATTATCACGCTGTTTTCAACGGTGGGGTTGACAACATGAAAGTGGTATCTCGGGTGAATCTGTTTGTCCCTGACCGATGTTTGCATGGTGGTGGTGCTATAGTGCAGATACGCTTCTCTCGCGCACCTGCGGTGGTGCACAGTCACCTACTGCTCGGGCGACTTCTTTGCTTAACCAATTGCTCACACAACAGTCACGTGCCGACATATTCCATGACAGTTCAAACGAATTCTTGAAATATGCAAAGAAGAGTACCTATGTAATTTAACTGTAATTAAGTATATAATTAACTATATATTGACTAGCATAGAAGTGTTTTGGCTTCCGCTGTAAACTTATATTGTGAAAAAATAAATAAATTATAAATAAAAATCAAAATGAGACAAACATTTTGTGAGCTGGTTCTGGACAAAACAATCCTTACTCAAAAATATGGAATTATTGTTTCAATTTAATTTTTAAATATATTTGACAAGCAGGGAATTGTTTAAATGTCTGCAATAACCTTCTACATATACGTAAATTTTAATAATCTTTCACCGGAAGTGAGCATTTCGTTTTTCATCGATTCTAAAAAAAAACATTTTTTTGAGTTAATACACTATCGTATTGACAGTCCGATAGGGTAAATACCGTAAAAGAGACGGGGACAGCGATGTTTTGATAACGACATGGTGAATGATCTGGAATTCCAAGTAGTTCCGACATAATAAGCGTTCGGCTCGTGCACCCGACCGAATTGCGCTTGGATTCAACTTATGCGAATGATTTGCCCATTCGAATGATATTAGTAACATTCAAAGTCTCACATCGTTGTTAGAAACCTCACCAGAGTGAGTTGGAATACTGCTTTATAACTTATACTGTGTGCTACATTTCAAATCTCGTTGTGTTAGAAAATACTGGACGTTTAAGTGCTTAATGCTATTGCAAGCAAAGGAAATTATTTAAATCTAATGTAAACGTATCATCCTCGTCTTCACAAAGGTTCAATTTACAGCGCCGCGGAACGGAATGGAAACGCGTTTTTGTAACGAAACTGTACACAGCATAATGAATTAGATGTCAATTGTATAACGTATAAACTGCAGGAATTCCCGAGACTACATTCTTCGGAAGATGACTACGTTATTATTGACATCAAGTTTTTTTTATGAGACTAAGTGACGGGACAATCAAGTCCCACTTGGTGGTAAGTGACTGTCCACAACAGTTCTAGTACACTCAGTGTATTAAATCACAAGATCTGAGGGGCACTGCCACTGCGCCCGTCACCCTGAGACATAAGTTGACAACTCCCATGTGCCTATAGTTTTGGTAAATTATACGTTCACGTTCCGGAACGCAGTAATTAAGGCAATTAAAAGTTTAATAAAGTAATTTAAAGTTTATTATGCTGTTACAATGATTATGTAAGAATCAAACAAACTCAAAGAATGATTCTGTCGATCCGGCTGAACTTGAACCAGCGACATTTTCGCCAGGCTTATCGCTTACCCAACGAGCTATGGAACCAGTCAGCAGACTTTATGAATTTCTCTATGTGCTTGCTGCAGATTTTTGTTGTGGTTTTTAACGGCATATTTAGCCGTAGCGCCACCTGTGAGAAGACTATGAAAGTTTTTTGTTTGCTCAGCAGGTACCTTTACAGCTATTACAAAAATTCACTTCCTGTATCCAACATTCAAAAACGAACATTTGCCACTAATAGTATGTCTATCATTTTATTTATGGATATATAAACATATATATTGATATATATATATAAACTTTAAAAAAAGAACTTGTTTGTTCCATAATCTCAGTACAGAGTACTAAAAAACCGACCTCAAAAGTACGTGGAATTACGTCTATTTGCTAAGTTTTATTGAAATATCCCCTAGTTCGCCACTATACAGGACTTGATACTGAAGATAATAATAATCGGGTCTCACTACTCAAAGTATATTGAGAGAAAAATGCCTTGAATTGGAGAAATAGCAAAATCAACCATTAAAATAATTGCTCCTAAATTAAAGTTAGGCGCTATTTATAAAAATGAATCTTCATGCGTGAACCACCTTTAAAGGTGGATGATTTTCTTCAACATGAAATGGGACCATTATGGAAGTACCCCCTTTCCAACAAAAAAAGAATCATGAAAATCAGTTCACAAATACCGGAGTTATCGCGTAACATACCTACATACAAAAAAAAAGAAAAAAGAACATACAGTCGAATTGACAACCTCCTCTTTTTTTTAAAATCGGTTAAAAATGTTATTATTATCTGTGGTGTAATAGTAGCGCGCATTTTAAGAATAGGCGGGAGGTTTTAAATTTCTAATTCATGAAACTCACCCAGAACTGGTAATTGCTATTT